CTGAAGCAAAGCAGCCGAAGCTGATAGAGGTGGGGTGGTTTTGGGGTTTTTTGTTTTGGTTTGTTTTTTGTTTTTGGTTTTTTTACATTAACATGCTAATGGACTTGTTAGGAAAAATATGCAGCAGGGGTGAATCTTCTTTTACTCTTTAAATCATGCTTTTTTCCAGGTGTGTTTTTTCTCTTCTTTCTTTTTTTTTTTTTTTTCCTCCTTCCGATTTGGGTAGTGAAACAACCAGGAAACTCTGGAAACAGTATTTTGGAGGTTTTTTTAATTTTTGACATGTAGAATGGAGTTACAGTGATTCCGTGATTGATGGAGTCATCCATTTGAAAATAAGGCATAATTGCCTGATTTATTTTTTTTGGAAACTGCAGGACTCTATGGATTTGTTTCTTTATTTAAACTTTAATAAATAAACTGTATTTGTGATAGTGGAAAGCCTGCACACCGGTGTGATGGAGTTCATATTTCTTGTTTTATATTTTTCTTTTTTTATCTGCCTCTGTGCTTTGGTGTGCCTGTATTTTTCTGGCTGCCAAGAAATGACATATAAACATGAAGGTAAGAAGTTACTGATTAGCTCATCTGATTGCATTACAACAAAATTCATCTTGGATCATTTTCATCATGTTAAATTAAGTACTTGAAAATGAGATATTTAGATGTAAAGGGAAACTACTTTAGCAGCAGAGAAATCAGAGAGAAATCCGTGGCAGTAGTCAGTGGAAATTAGAATTTTAATCAGAATTTTTCAGCAATTTACATGACTATTTTCTCAGTTATGAAGTTATGATTTAGAAGTAATAAATGTACAAATCGATATAAAAGAATCTTTTAAGTTGTTAATTGTTCCTATTTTTAAGAAAAGTTTTGAATGAAACTTGAATGAAAATCGCATATAGTTACAAAAATACAATGAGTACTGTAGATGTTTGTATATACTTTCAAAAAACATTGTGATTCAGCTTTTGAGCTATATGTGGAATCTCCCTTGGAATTGGTGTATTTATTTATGCCTTATTATTTATTACAGTGTTTATCAACAAACTTTGTATGAATCTTTTTT